GGGCTGACTCGTTTCGCTAAGGTTGCATCGACCTGACGCTCAGGCTTTTTTGCAACCTGCCAGGGTAGATCGACACACATCCATCAGTCTTATCCATTTTCCACTGTGCCGCCTTTCGGGATCAAAAAGACATCAAAGAACATGGCACGACACCTATTTGTCCGACCATTCTATTGTGGTTAATTACATTTTGAAGACCTGAAGACCCAACTTGGCCCCGGCAAAGCGCCCCAATCGGAGGCCAACGGACCGCTACCAGGTGTGGAACCCGAGCCGCGAGGACACAGCCAAGTTGGTATATTATTGTTGTGAAGCAAACATTGGATTCTTGACATTCTTGAGCTCACTTGAATTCACTGCGGGTTCTCATCTTCAGTTCTGCACATCGAAGATGTGCTTTAGGTGGAGTGACTCCTCCAACATGCGGCAACCGCTTCTTGCGGGGCCAAAAAGGACATGATACCTCATCATATTCAGCCGATCCCATCGTGTCGAACACGTGAAAACGTGTCACACTGTTCAGGTGCGCACATGAGGTCGTCCCAAAGTTCGGTGCCGTTCCTGCAGGCATGGTTTTAGAACGGAAGCCCTGTGAGACCCCGGATGAGAAGCTTCAGAACTAGAGTCCATCCTGGACTGGATCAGACATCCACAGCCCTCAGGATGTTCTTAGACAAATCCTGCCGCAGCTTCCCAAAGGTTACATTCTAAAGGAAAATGACCCTTGGCCAAAAGACTTCTTCGGCAAACATTGGGGTTGTCCACTTCGATGTGTTCATTCTGGTCTAGCCCTTTCTTGACCATTTCATGCTCAGGATGGACATCGATCTCCCCAAAACGGTGAACACATCGGGTGGTCGTTGCAACAAACTTCTCGACTGAAGCGACCCTGAGAAACGCGCCGCTATGGTAAGTTTTGGTCAGGTCGAGTAAAGTTTCACATCGAGTACTGAGAGGAGTCTGGGTCGCTGGGATGTGTGCGTTGGGATGAAACGGCCGAACGAAATGGTGGCCATGTCATCCTGTGCTGTAGTTCACTCCCCAAATGCTTGCAATCCAAACTGATATAGAAACGTCAAAAGGGTCCAATACTCGATTCAAAGAACCAAAGGAGCGATTGGGGTCCGACCGATCATGGTCGAACATGACCTCATGAAGACATGTGTATACCCCCAAGATGAACAAACCCACACACGCCATATCGCTCCATGTATGGCATATTTACCATACGAGCTAAAAAGGACATTACATCCATTTACATCCTATGTAGGAATACAGTATAGGTATGGAGTCTTTGGATGTCTTTGGGACATACAGAAAAAAATAAACAGTCTCGATCATCATCCTGATCAGGCTGAGTTGGAGGTGATTGGACTCAAATGCGCCATCCACATCCACCACCGATGGCGCAGATGCGGCGAGGAGAGCTAGTCTCGAGACCCTTTTTGACACCCCAAGGGGTGGTGTTTGGAGAAACACAGGTGGTTGATGGACACCCCTTTTTGGACACACCAATTGCTCTCAGGGTCTCCTGGTTTCTTGCTCCCTACACAGCGGAGCGAGAAACCAGCATACACATGCGGATCGACAAAAATAGGGTCCAAACAGATCGACTCATGGCTTCTCGTGTTTCGACTCATGTGTCCAGATGGGTCATCTGACGGGTCATCGGACGGGTCGATCTCATCTGCCGATCATCCGGGGTCGCAAACAGAAAAGACCTACACCCAGTCGGTGGTCTGGGCAGCATTGCTTGGACTGGGAAGTTGTCTGCAGTTTGGACTGGGGTCACAAAAAAGCAACGAACCATTTCTTCCTAACTGGCTCAGCTAACTTGAGGGTCTTAGCCCGCTAGCTACCAAGCAACGAACAACCGCATCTAGAAAACAACTTGCTCAATATCCAAGGCGTCTTTGCACAGTTGGAAAGGACGTTGGGAAGGACCAATGTCACTCTCTGACTTCCCCCTCCCGGTTTCCTGAGGTCTGGGTAAGTCAGGTAAGTCAGGAAACCACCTAAGGCAAGGCGTCTAGCAAATCCTGCACCACATCATTCTACGTCCAACCCTACTACCCAATTCACTTGATGTAGCCACCGGTGGACGGCTGCCACTTGATCTCGCACCAGCGTCCCCGTCCCGCCGCAGCCGAGTGAACTCACTTCTTCGCATCAGACTGCACTAGGCCTCCGGATTCGCAGATGAGAGAGTCCAAGCCCGTTCCCCCAAAGGTCCTGAGGGGATCTGTGCACAGGATCTCAGTCGGCCCATCACCAAGTCCACCAAAACCCGCCACGCCACGCATCGGTCGGGTGCTGGGCGGGCTGAGTGACCCTCCATGTTGGATACAACGACAGAAAGAGGGTCCCTTCCGAGCAAAACAGGGGTCCAATGGCTTCTAGGAATATGAACATAGACTCTAACATAGAAGGACACTCAAAATACAGGCAAAGGAACAAGGGCGCTTAAACGGTGTAAGACCAGGAGAAGACTCTCCTCTACAAAGGGGTAGCGATTCTCTGAGGGAGGGTTCAGATACTATAGACCCTGGAAAACAAGACCTGGAGATCTTCGCAGGATCATGTTCCATGTTCGAAGACTTTCGAGGTACTTTGGAGACTTAGGACTTGTACTTGGCCATTGGGCACACACATTTTACTCAAACGAAATCAGGCAACCCCTCCAGATTGACATCTTGAATACTTGGTTCACTATGGTTCACTCAGGAAAACTCAAGTCCATACCTTCTCAATCCATCTCAATTCCTTTACATAATAGATCAACCATGATCAACCCACCAAGATTCGGGTCTGGGGTGTTCCTCCACACCAAGTCACCATGATGCCCCTCCCCAATCCGCCTGCGGTTGTAGCGACTACGAGAGAAGTAGAAAATGGAGGCGATTGCCAAAATCCTCAGCCGATTGATGCTAAGGGTGGTTTCAACCACCTAGAAATAGGTGTTACTGACTGCACCGACGAAGAAATCACCTGGTGAGGAGAACGGTTTGACCCAGACTCTTTCATATACTGGCAGGCGCAACTAAACCCCAAACACTCCATGGGACTGCCATATTATTTGCGTAGGCATATACTATATATTCCAGTCCCAGTTTGAGTGTCTGAGGTTCCTAGTTCATGTCGATTCACTACAGTGCGAAAATAGCGCTGCCAAATGGGTGCATCTCTTGGGTGCATCTCTGGGTCTGGAGTAGAATGTTCTGGCGATTGCCAAGACATGTCGTGAACCCAGATCTCATCGACCTCAAGCGGGCCCAAATCTTGGCTATGCATCCTCTGATGATATGACAACTGGCATCGGGCATGTTGCAGTAGGATGAGCCTACAGCGTGGTCACTGCATTCCTTGAAGTCCAGCAACGGCACACGTCAGGTGAGCGCTCGCCGACTGCTGCAGCGAGAGGAGCGCCGTTTGCCGACGACTAAGTCGACCGAACACTTCCCAGAATCCGCCTCTGACATCGTCATCCATCGACATGGTGAAGCAGCGAAGCAGCTGTCGCAGGACGGGCCTTCCTCGCCAACTCCTCGCTGTTGCACTGCCAACTTGCAATCGTGGCCTTCCGAAGCTGTTTCTGAACTACCTGACATTGATGTTCTTCTTCGCTGCCGGAAGTTCTTTTTGCAAAACAGACCTCTGGCATGCCCCATAGTAGCCAATGCCAAGGCCACCAGTTTTCATGATATCCCATACTTTCGATCGCTTCTGATCAATGACACCATGATTCCCCGTAGTGTAATTATTACACCGCCGGTTGGGAGACGTCCCACGACGGACGTTACAAACTGGACGGAACACTTGGCAAGTACATTGGAAGACACGAACTGTTACAACGTGTCATAAGTACTGTGAACATGTTGTTGGGGGCTTGCCATGTCTTGCATGCATGCCTGCCGGGCTTGTGGCAGTTTGCTTGTTTTGTCTTGTTGTTTCCTGAAAGTCCTTTCTTTCGTCAGGACATGACCAAAAAGTGGAAAGCGTGAGAGTTTGTCTGTCCAAACCTATTATTTGGGCATATATGATGTGCACATGTTGCTTTGGAACATCTACAAATGGGTTGATGATCATCACTCAAGGATTTCAAATCGTTTCCCAAATCTACTCACCCTCAAATTCAGTGGTTGGCCCCTACTCACCACTCTTGCCAGGATTGTCTATATGACTTCTTCATTCCCATCCCAAATCTGAAATTTGGCACTTCCCTTGACGGCCCAGTCTCGCCATGAGCCCGGTCAGGAGGTAAAGCCTTGGCGGCGAGGCAGGCGGTAGACGAGGCGGGGATCGGCTGAGCACCTGAGCTGCTGACCTCCCGTGCAAATACCACTAATAGCACTGGAGGTTCAGAAAATGGAAAACCACTATATACTCAATGAGACTAAAGGACCAGGATATTATTGGGTCAGACTGATGTAGGGATGTGCAGGGCCTTAGAGACTTGATCAAATGGCTGCAATTCCAAAACATACCAAAACCCCCAAGTCCCCCCCCGAAAAAACACACCTTCGCGTTCCTTTTTGCACTCCCTTCCACAAAAAGCAAAGCACCTGACCTGTGCTATTATATTTAGATGTATTCGATTCTATAAGGCCGGCACCCACCCACCATCACCCGCCCACCATCACCCACCCACCATCACCCACCCACCATCACCCACCCACCATCACCCCCCCGGCTGACTTCCGAGTCCGTCTCCGGAACCACGCGCTGACTTCGACCCCGAGCGATCGGGGAGCGGCCGTCGGACGAAGCGACATCCAAACGAAGAGGTCGAGGATGATCTCGTTGTCCGTTCCGCTCAAAGGACCGAAGCCTCCGAGGTCTGACAGTTCGAAAGGAACAAACACGACAAAGCCACAAAAAGGAACACACACACATATATATATATATAGTTTATACATATATAGTATATATATAGTTTATATAATATATAAGCTGCTTCCAAGGGGTCACCAATGGATATCTCCACACTACTTACAGGTCTCCAGACAGGGCACCCCTTGGAAGCGCTAGGTATATAATAGTGTTCAACTTTGAGAGGGAAGTGATGAAGCGATCATCTTCACCTCAAGATTTTCCTGTGAGCTTAGCTATTGATTTGTTTAGATCGAATAGAACTTGAAGGGGACCTACCAACAGCGATCGTTTCCTATCGATCCTTCGGCCCTTTGCCACCCAGAATCCCATAGAAATCGCAGCGGGGAACCTACAAAAAGCATAGAACCTACAGCATTTTTCCTTGAGGCGAAGGTGAAAGGGAACAAACAATGTGCTGTATATAATTTATTATGTATCATCAATATATCATCAATGAACCCAAACACTCCATGTATGGAATATATTGACCCCCAAAAACCAACCCAATGTAGACCAAATAAGGCATACATCCCGTGTCTAGGTATAATAAGTCTCTCTTTCCGGCCTAGCTCTTATGACTGGGAGGGGAGGCCACTCAAAAGCACTCAAAGCATTCTAATGCAAATTCAAAGACTTTGATACATCAGGAGGCCAATGGTCACCACGTAGCCTGAAGCCACAGCGGCAAAGCCAAAGAGGTTGAACACAGTGGTGGATGTCTGAAACATGTTGAGATTCATGCCATCTTGCGCCACAGTTTCTTTCCCCGGCGCCGGTTTCTACACAACCCCCCCTGATCATTCGTGAGTGGCGGATGGTTGTTCTCACAGTTTCACGGTTCGAAAACATCCTCATACATTCACCACAGAGTAGTTTTTTGGGAGGCAGCAACTCTCATGACTCATGACTCATCAATCCAATACCCACAAGTAGTTGATCCACATTGTGACCCCCCTTAATGGTGCAGTATCCATCAATCATCATACTGCCATGGGCATTCCCTTCATCCACCAGCTGGTGTGCTTCCTCAAAACATGAAGCCATGTCATATCAAGGACCATCTAACAGGTTCCCAATACACTTCCCACACCACTGATGGGTGTCCATTGGACATTTTGTTGGGGACCAACCAGGGAGACTGTTTGTCAAATAGCCGTGCTTTGGTGGAGAATGGTCTCAGTTCATGTCCTCCACAATCATTAGTCTGTTTGCAGGGATACCATCTTCACATCCAAGCAAACAACATCGACCCTTTGTGGGCCCCAGAAGCCTCCACATGCTGAAATTCAAGAAAACAACACCATGCAACGTCCAAATCAGGTGCCAGGTCTTTGACTTCTCCATCCAGTGACTCACTGACCCGGTCTTTGGCCTTTCGCGCCTCAATTCCGCGCCCGGCGCGGAGGGTTCTTCCGGTGGCTGACGCTGACGGTTCTTCTCGCCGAGAAGCCGAAGAAATCGGAGGCGTAGATGAGGAAGGAGCAGGTGCCTTTCCACTCGCCAGGAATTTCCAGGCGAAGGTGGCGAGGTGGTCGATGATTGGACAGGTCAATCATTTGACAGGTCCGGTCAAGTGATTCAAAAGAACCTACTCAATGAGGTAAAGGACCAAGCTTTACTGGGTCAGACTGGATCTGCAGGGCCTGTAGGGCATGGCTCTCCAATGGATTGTATTCTTACTCCTGATTAGCTTTTGTGTGTATGGGTGCTAGACAATGACCCGTTCTAGGAGTCTTTCTGCACTGAACCACCCCAGCTAACTCCTCCCGCCTCCCTTCTCCCATCCTCCCTGCACTTGCCTTCGGCGCGCGTCACCGCGAAGATGCGCTCGTTCAACGGGGCGTTCAGCACGCTGTACGCGGCGTAGAAGGCGGCCGAGTAGATCCTGCCGTCTGAGGTCGCCGAACATGCCAACCGCAGAACGAAAGAGTGACATGGACCCCAGCCCCAGACACTCCAGACACTCCATGGATGCAGCTCAAAGGAACCCGCACAAGAAACACTCACAATCTCTGGTCGGCCCCTTTAATTTATAGAACTTGGTGAAACCAGTCACGAGAAGTGCAGTAAACATCTTCGGGTTGTTCTGTGTGCAGCACATAAGCAAAGAAAAAGATGACATAGATCGGGTGACATCATATGACATCATTACCAAAACCAAACAGGACAAATAGACAATAATTTTTGATTTGTTGGTTTCCTTAGACCTTGTTGTTTATATAACTGTTCCTTTGTTCTTTGAACATGTGTTTCTTTATTTTTGTGTTCTTATTAAGACCCTTTATAGACGTCTTTATTTTTCATCGGGTGACATCATATGACCTCATGGCCATGTGACGGGCTGTCACACTCCGTTCTTGAGACCCCTTCATACGACGGAACCACCGGGAGCGCCTCAACCTGGCTCTATACATTCTCTACCAGCCCCCATTAGGGGCCAATAGACACCCCTTAACCTCTAAGGGGCTACCAATAGAATACAAATAGACACCCCAAACCGGGGAGCTCCGCATCTCCACATCTTTTAGGCTGAGATAGCGGCTCGGTCAGCCGAGTGGCAGGATCCAAGCCATGCCCGGCAGCTCATGGTGGCGGAAGAGGTAGGTGCATGCAGCCATCAGGAAGAGTCCTGACCGGCCGACGAGGCCGCCGTTCCAAGGCTGAGCGTCTCTGAGTCTGTAGATCAGAGTATTCACAATGAAATGATCGGAGTGGTTGCCTATAGGTAATGAGTGACTGCTGTTTGGCTGGTCACCGCATGCTCCGTGGATCATAAACACACAATGTATGTGTGTGAATGCTTGCAGCACTACCTCAAGATGTGACTGGTTCGAAGCCCTCTCGCCCAGTCGCCCCACTGGCAAAGGTGGTAAAGGGAAAAGGAGAAGATCTCAAAATATAGCAAGAGAATATGGGAAGATAGTTCATCATGTTGCTGCCAAGAAAACGTTTGGAAGATGGAGAAGATCGAGGCACTGGCACTTTGGCCCAATTCGAAGATCGAGGCACTGCGGGATGATTCAATGCCCAAAGACGCAAGGGTTTTCGTGTACGTTCCAAGAACCTCCAACCTTTCACCGAGTGTCCAGAGACATTGGTGAGGAGCATGAGGAACAGAGCCCGCTGGTTGTTGCTGACCCAAGACATCATGACCTCGGTATACCGTGAGACATGGGTGATGGTTGTAGGTCCACCAGATCCAGTGAGACCCAGCCACGCACCGATGTTCGAAGAAAGAAACCCTCCAACATGGCGTCCCAAGGTGCCCCCGACAAACCACGTACTTCGCCTTGCAGATCTCACCTCTTCTGGGCTTCATAAGATCATGTCCTCCAACCAATGGAGAATCTGGTGCGACCACTAAAACGATCTCCTCATGATGAACCCACCGTCTTTTTCAGACATCAGAAAGACTCAGGGGAAATTGGTGGACCATTTTGCGTTCGTTTGGTCCACATTATATCCCTGCAACAACCTTCAACTGGAAGTCCACCAAAATCCATGCCAGTCCAGGCGCCAATGAAATGAAGGACAAAATAGCGCCCGGCACGTCGGCCAAGACGTAGACCTATACACAACCGTGGGAAGCAAAGAGAAAGAGAGAGAGAGAGAGAGAGAAAGACGAGAGAGAAAGACGAGAGACGAGACCTTTGTGGCGAAGCAGGCGCTGAACAGTGAGAAGCGGTTCCTGAGATGCCGATGCCCGAGATCCCTGTTGGACTTCTGGTGGGGAAATCAATCGTCCCAGAAAGGTCTTGGACGTCATCCACTTGTACTGACAGGGTAGGCCACAAGGGGGAGTGCCGAAGAGAAGACTTACTTGCCAGGAACAGGTGGAAGGAGATCTGGGCTCCTGAGAGGGTCGAAGTTTTGGCAACATCAGCCTTAAGATTATCCTTGGGGTGGCCATATACATGTTGCATCAACTTAGAAGTTTAATACTATTTTAGATGTTTAGTACTGTATAATTATATATATAATATACTTAGAAGTTTAGTAGTTCATAGTACTTAAAAGGTCCTTAAAGCCTCTGACCTCCTCAGCGTCTCCTCAAACATTCCGCCAGCCTTCGAACTGGGCGAGTCGTCCTTTAACGCAGCTGCGAAGATCTGCTGAGTGTAGAAGTCCCGGAAGGACCGCAAACCAGCCTCGGAGCGAAAAGAGGTCTCGGTCCGAACGGAACCAGGTTTTTGAAGCTCTTTTGAACATCGAATCAGGTTTAAGAGTGATCCAATACATGTTTAGTAATTAGGGGGATCTACTTTTCTATCTATAGTTGGGGGTCTATTCTATATATGGATTGGCTGACATCTGGGATGAGGTTTTAAGGGTCACTGAGTCAAAATCGGTCAATCTTCCAGCCCCATGGATGGCGCTGGGGGCACTTTGTCCGACTCCGTCAGTCGTCGCTCTTTGGCTTGGAAGACTGCGTAGTCAGTCCGGACCGATGGAACTTCACACCACCCACCATTGGGCCACCACGCCACCCCACCCGGGCCCCATAAGAACACATGGCCCAAGGCGCCATGCAGGCCCAAATGCCAATCGTGGCCACTACGCCCAGGAGGTTCTCCCGCACAAACTCCCACTGCTTGCTGCGCAGCAGATGTTGCGGAGCGAAGATCAGGAACGAAGCCACTCTGCACCAGGTAGTGGGAATCGCATGGGGGATCAGGGGGATCTACATAGATTCCGCATGATTTGTGAGAGAGTGGGGATGGATCTGGTACGCCGTATTGGTAGGGAAGTTTGTTTTTTTGTTTCCCACTATATGTACGCCCACAGAGTTACCCTCTAAGGACTTTTAGTATACATAACTTAACTATAACAATACTCACTGATAATGACAAATGAGTAAAGAAGCGCTCAAACAAATGGCAGGCATCTCCAAAATTGGTATCCCAAGACTGAGTGGAGAGAAATGTTGAGAACATCCTCAAATATGAATGACTCAACCCGTTACAAACCCACCACCATCGAAGCATGTTGTTGCCCCCGCTTAAATGCTGCAAAGTCCAAATGCAAATTGAAGAGATTCTGTCACGGGGCCCGGGGCAAGAAGTTTATACCTGGGTCTTCCTAGCTATGTGTTTCTTCTGCCTTTCCAATGAACACTGCAGAACAAGATGATGCACCTCTGAAAGGGTCCAGGGATTAAAGTCTCGCGTCAAACTGCGGTATTGACATCAGAGCAAAGGATTGATCTCACACGATGTGAACTAAGTCGACTTTGCGGTGGGGGGCGGGTCCAACTCAAAGGCAACACAGCTGGTGGTTTCATTGGTATCATCCCAAGTACAGTATTGGCGGAACATATCATCTGAAAACATCTGAAGCCACCACCCAGATAGAATCTTGCCCCAAGCCATGCATTCATAGCAACCCTTGACACCTGATCTGTGAATCATGGGCTTGGCGAGGGAGACCTGGAGCTTCACAACTTTACACAAAAGACATGTCAGTCAGGAAACCCTTCCACCCCCAACGCCCCTTTAAGCTTCAATCCGTTCAAGGTCCAGTCCAACGTGAAACAACTTAAACAAACATATATGTTCTGTCATTTGGTTGTATCTTCCAAAACCCTCCATCACGCCCAAGAGCCGCACTACTTTCTCCCACCGTCTGGTCAAACCCGCCTGGGTGGCATCGCGGTGCGTGCCGAGCGCGCGGCCACATCGGCGCGGCTCGGGGGCGGCGCGCGGGCGGTTTCCACGAGCAGGAAGGCCGCCAGGAGGAAGGAGACTGCGATACGAGGGTCGGGCAGTGAGAGGGTGGTACGAGGGTGGTGAGAGTCGGCGCAGGTTGGGGGGGAGTCGGTGCAGGGATTAGGCTTGGGTGCTTGATGGGAAGAGAAGGAGTACTCTGGAAAGGAGCTCCGGTGGGCGTGTTCTGCCGAACCATGGCCGGGGCTTGGATGGCAGCCGATATTTTTTGGGGCCTTCAGCAAGTTGTTGGAGGAATATCAAGTAATAGCAATAGTGGTGGTGATGGTGCTGTTTGCTGTTTGCAAGAAGCGGGGTTGGATGGAAGTGAAGCTTGTGTTGTTGGTGCTTCATAGCAGTCGTAGACATCTGCTCTTTCAACTTGGAACTTCGTTCCGTGAGATTCGAGATCTGGAGGACCAAAACACCTCAACATCAATCTGCCAACCCAGAAATAGGCCAGATTCGATCCTCGAAAACCACCTCGAAACCTGAACATATACACATTGACCCTGAGACCAATCGATCTGCGGACAGGACATCGCCATGCGCGTCCACCCGGTCCCGCCTGAACCCAAGAGGAGTGGCATCAACCGTGGCGGGACGCCCCAGTGCAAGAGCTCCGCGGCGCACGCGCGGCTGACGGTGCCCGCGAAGACTAAGGAGGCGCTGATGGAGGCCAACAAGATCTCAGTGCTGCGACCTAGGGCGAAAGGCTGCAAAAGAAGAATGTACTTTTGATGTCAATGTTTTACCTCTGCATATAGGAAGGTTTTATGAATCAACAGCCTGCCTACAGTACCCTTGCGCAAGCTAACAGCAAACACATTTGGGGGGGTTGTACTTCAGGGACTGTAGGCCACTTTTCACCTCTTTCTGGTCAAGATGGATTTTCTTTTGGCGGGCCAAAGGGCGCAAATCTTGGCGGAAGAGATCTCAGAAACGAGCTGAGACCAGGTGTGGCGAGATGAGATCTCGTAAATTGTAAAATGACGTAAAATAATGTATATAAAATGGGATTGGCATTTCGAAGAAACAATTATAGGGCAAATACCCAATCATCTGATTTCGCCCCTTTCAAAGTTCTGGGTCTGATCCTAACATCTTTTAAACAGCCATCAAAAAAACACGGACGAGCTTAAAAACTCTGCCCCCCCTCAAATAATTGTGTACACCTTGTAAACTTAATTTGTGTAAAGGTTCAAAGGGATTCCGGGGATTCACAACCTTTGCTTCCGGGGATTCACAACCTTTGCTTCTTGAACTTGGCATGGGGGAGCAGTTGCGCGACGAGATCTGACGGGCCGACAGGCCGACCGATTCACCCTCAGGTCCGCCGCCTGTAGTAGATGGGATCCGTTCGGAGATGCTTCCAGAGCCCGGAACAATATTCAATTGCCCAGAACATCTACAAGTTTGAGGATGTTCAGTGGACAATATCACCAATTATTATGGGAAAGTCGTCGGACATACACTCCCTGAAATAATAATGCAGTGGAGTTCACCACCTTTTTTCATATTTGGAAGAGGGTCTTTCCAGGGGCCAGGCCATCCACTTATGATTTCAGGCAGTGTATATAATCCAAAATTATTCAAAGCTTGGAAGGGCTCCAATCTACTTCTGAAGGAATTGTCCTGAATGGACTTCCAGATCTTCCTCCCCGAGTCATCTTGCAGAAGCGCCCTGAAAAACCATGAACAAATACATAAAACAACATGATGATCCAAATGAATATGTAGAGAATTATCCAGACATTGTACAATCAAACATCTAGCTCTGACACACTGCTACATGCTTTCTACACTTGGATCCTCCGCTCCTCGCATGTACTCTCTCTCCCAAGGGGCGGCCCTCGAGGTAGGTGACGATCCCACCATAAAGGAAGCTGGAGACAAAGGAAGAGCCAAAAATGCAAAGGACTTGCCTCATTTCGATTTCGAGCACGCGAAGGAACAGATTGATCACACTTTGTAATAGTCTTTAACTTTGGAGAGTTTTTGCCCACTTGAGGGGATCAATTGCATGGGACTGGTGCAAGACTATGGACGCATCCTCCTGACCGGGCGGTCCATGGAAATTGACAGCGGAAGAGGAGTGACCTGGGACGGCACCAACTCCTTCAGCACGAGTTGGGCAGTTGGTCAAGAAGCTTAGTCGAGCATGAGTGTCGACCAGCCACGTGCTCGGCCTGGGGTTTGGTTCCAATCCCAGCATCGAAACAGTCCTCACGGAACCGTGGCTATTGTGAGGGACCAACCCAGTTCGAGGATGATTGAGAGGCTATCTCAACAAAGCCCTCCAAATGGCACATAAGTCTCTCATGCTTGCCATTTCTGCGGTATAGGAGAGTGATCTAGAACTCTACTATAGTCCCTTGTGCTTGCTGAGCACTCCCTCTTGGAACCATGGTTGACTCTCAAACAAGGAAGACAGAAACCCCCACTCCAAAACCCCACATGGAAGTGGAAACGCATTTTCATGCATTTTCTACGCAAAGGATGGGCCGGTTGGTTTGCACTTCCATGGCAGATAGTCAGATGCCAACACAAACCATCTCCCATCAGCCCCAGTAGCAGGATGGGAATTGGCAGGAGTCCGGCCAGAGCTGCCAAAGCCATCGAGAGGAAAAGCATCATGAGCCTTTCTCGTGGCGTCGGTGTGCGATTCATAGGAAAGAAGAGCCCTAGACTCAAGTACGAATACCATGCAGCACCTGCACTGATGCTTTACCATCCTGAAGAGTGTGTCGAAAATCCTGGGCTGGAACAAGAGATGAGGATGCACACAATGCATAAATGGCACCCTGACATCAAGCAGCCCCCAACTGATCCGAATCTGCCAATCCGAGGGGTCGTGTCTGGTTCGGTCTTCCTCGTGAGGTGGATCAAGAATCATTTCCCTTTGGGGGGCTCCTGGCCCGGAAGGTGCTTGGAACAGACCTGCCCCCCTGGCACCTACCCCAACCCCCTTCGAAACGGAGGTAGGCCAGGAGCCGGAAGTTGGTGGATCTGGTGTAAGCTCCCTGCCGAGTCCCGTCACATGGATGTCAAAAAATGTAAAAACCGGGGTTGAACTCAGAAAATGGACGGCTTGTAACGGTGAGGTTTTGACTCACATGCCTGAAACCAGAACACATCTGGGGTCTGAAGAAAGCTCGACCAGGACGGATGAACCGGCCACCATCAAATCAAAATGATTGATCAATGTGGTTCTGCCACCTCTGCTGTTGTTCCTTCACAGATTTCACTCGATGCACGGGTCAGCCTGGGTCAGCGAAGTGTGAGCCGGCTGAATTGTTTGCTAATCCCAACCCAGAAATTGGGCAGCGCAATTTTTCAGGAGATCTAGAATCTAGGCCCAAGTAAATCCCACCTTGGAGTTGTATGTTTGCTGCCGAAATGGGTGATTTTCACCCCAAATTCCACGTCCAGCCGTGCCCACTTGAGACCGACTTCTCCCCAGCATGTGATCCCAGTGGCAGAATCCCCAGGCGATACCTGAGAAAGACAAGAACCACGTGGTGACAAGAACCACGTGGTCTGCGGCAAACGAGTGAATGGCGGGGAGGGGTGTCCCTATGCTTGGCATACCCAGACACTCCGTGGAAGATCTACAGATCGAGTCCTTTTGAGACACCACAAACCAACAAATCCCAAACAACATCACATTCTTGCGGCCATCTGCTGCTCAGGCAGCGCTCCGTCTTTCCCTTTCGCCACCGAGTGCTGTTTTCTTAAAGAAAGACCCCACATGAGCAGCGGACAACATTACTTGTGTAGCCAAGTACTATTTGACATGATTATATAACATTATATATAGATATCGGATTTGGTGGGGTCCATATCGTTCTCCAATGTTTCTGCAAACCGTAGTTAGCATAGCATACCGTCACATAGACTAAAACACAAAATATAACTCACAACCTCAAATTAGAGGCTTACAGTGCTTTCTGCACAGGAATGGCACAGCACTTGATTTATGCCCTTGGGTTCTTGTGGCACTGGGCTGTGCAAGGATCACAACACATAAGCGGGGACATAGTAGCTCGGCCCATGAACAAACACTAGTATATAATGTGGAGAAGTAGGTCGACGGTCTACGGAGTGCCTGGCGTGACATGTAGGTTATCGTTTGTTTATCGTTTGGATTATCGTTTGGGAAGTTGTCCGGGATTATCATTGATGAACAGTTGTGCTCATCGGTTTAGCTCAAATATGCTCAAATAAACATGCAAATGCAATAACATATATATTGTAACCACAAACGTCTTTGTACCCACTACATCTTAACAAGATTATCTTTTTTGGTGGGGACCACATCGTTTTCCACAGAAACAAAGCCCTCACCATAGGTTTAGGGTCATGCTGTGACTAAATATATAAGTCAACCAACAATTTTGTCCGTCGCTCACATGGAAAGCCTCCCACCAAGCTTGCTCAGCTGCGCAAGCAGCCAACCCGCCACGGCCCCTCACGTTCCAAGACAGACCGGCCCAAAAATGCGAGCCAAACAGAAGCTAAACAGGCAACCTGACAGTCTGGACGCCTCCCAAATCGACCCACAAACCACCACGAAACAATGATCTTTGGACCACAAGTGCCTTTTTTCCAACACAAACCGCGTGAACAAAAAACACAGAGGTGAACAGCCATGGCGCCGGAAGAAGAAGTTGCTGGTCTGCAAACGCATGGCAGGCAATTTCGCAGCACCAAATCCCAAGACAAAGGCCATGCTAATGCCTGGTGGTGGCGATGGTGGTGGTGGTGGTGGTGGCGGTCTTAAATATGTCTTGAGATGCGCACTTGGAGTAATCAGCACTGATGTCACTTGGAGAAACGCGCGACGTTTGACACTACTTGACAATCACCGGTAGGCAACCCTGCTTACCTATGGCATCACCGGGTTACCATGGGCCTTCCCCCAAACCCCCAAACCCTGGGATTCGGCACCAACACAGCTGCTCATCATCACACTCCAACGCAGCTGCTTTTGCAGGGTATCGGCTCCATCGGTCTTCCCAGCGCCTCTTCCCAGCGAAGAACCGCCCCTTTTGGTACATCCATCAACCGATCCCGGAGACCGAAGAAAAGAGAATTTGGGGTCCAAAGTGGTCCAGGCAAAACTGGCTTGTGACCGACATCAACACCCATCACAGTTTGGAGAGCCAAGCCGAACTAGTCATAGGTATGGAAAAATGTCACGTAGATCCGAAGATCCATGTAGAAAAAGAACACAACATTGGAAACAATGACATCGTCGACCTCTTAAAGACTCGCAACTGTATTGTTCATGCCTTCCATTGCCTTCCCGCCCAGTGACATTCTTGCAAGGAGAGGTCCCGCCCCAGCACATGCAGCGTCTTTGCCTTCAGAATTTCAGGCGGGAGCCTCAGGAGTGAGTTCCTCACCCTTCTGCTTGTGGAGAGAAGCAAATAACAAGACGGAGAAGACCTTGGGCCTTGGGGTTTAGGATGGTTTAGGAGGAAATTTCTGGATTTGCTTAAGTGGGTGTCTTTGCTCTTTTGCGAACGTTCTTACACTCCGATACCCATTACGTTGCTCGTGTTGTGCTTGTGGTGCTTCTGGTCAGGCTTGGGTTCAATCACCGTCTGCTGCTTCGCAGTGTTCGAGGCCGTGCTTGCCGCTTCAAACACTATATATAGTCATGTATGATGTGTGTGTGCAATCAAACCGAAGCATCAGCATTCAACCAAAGAAATCTTTGTCAGTTGCTGGTTTTACTTTGATCAGTGAAGCAGGCTGCCATCGTGGTTGTATAAGCGACATTCCGTTGTCAACCTCTGCTCACTCCTCTGACGCTTTTAAGTGGGGCAAAACCGTCCGTTTCAGGTGTCCAAAACACCGTCACGGGTGGCAGCTAACCGAGGCATGACAGGTGCTCGACGAGGAACGTGGAACACATGTTGAGCAAGAAACACATCCTCGATACATGCGACGCAACGAATGATCGACTGATCGACCGGTTGTGTGGCCGGCCTTGTGGTCCAAACCAACCAGGCCCGATGGGCCGGCCATGGCCAAAAAACCCGGGTTCCAGTCCAACCCACCTGGGTAGCCAAAACCACCGAATCCTGCCGGTGGTGGCCCCTTGAAGCCGAATCTCCTTGGTCTATTCCTGGCCATTCAGCCAACACATTGTTCATGAAGATTGCCGACCTTTTCTTTATAGTTATGCAGCCAACTTGTCGCCACAGCCACATGAAGATGGGGTAGCGCCAAAAGTAGCAAAGCGCATAGCACACTGAAGCCTTGCTGGCATCAATTCGGACTTGCTCCTATGAGATCCTGTATGCAATATGACATTTTGATAGAAAAGCATCGAGTGTTCTCGCCTTTCTGTCCAGCAACATCTAGTTAAGAACATTAGCAATTTTATATTTGTCATCTGGAAGCCACTGGCCCCATCGTATCTTGTGCCATCCCAGGTATTCCAAGGGCGGATTGTATACAGAAACTCTCTCTTTGCAGACTGCAGTCTGTGCATTCGCAACGTCTGTTTGCCAACCAGTGTTCAAACTTTAAAAGCAACTTGGAGGACGAAGTCTTCATAAAACCCTTCTGGTCCCTTGATTGTTCCTAATAAACTTGAAGCACATCCCCCTGGACAACGCAGTTCCAAATACTGCGTGGTGGTCAAACCTGTCAAACCTTTGGTTACCACCTTGGCCCCTCAAAAGGAGTCCACGCCCCGAAAACAACACGCGCCCCTTCAAAATTGGCGTCCACGTCCCGAAACGCCGGACGTGCCTTCTTACTCCACACCCTCAAACACGCACCTTCCAGGTGAAACTGGGATACCGACCGGTTCACCGGTCGTTCACGTCGGTCACCGTCCCATCCCGATCTGCCAAGGGTCCGTGAATGAGATCCATATCGTGGTGCCTGCGCGTGAGGAAGCTACTCCGACCCAATCAAGGACATGGGAGAGATGTTGTGAAGACGAAGGGGGTCTTCTGGTTGGCGGGGGGGGGAAGAGATGGATTTAAGGAACACAAACATTGGATGAGGGTCGTTGGAGCAACATGAGAATTCTCTGAGGCAGCGTGGTAGCTTGGACCGGTCGGAAGAGCTTCCTTATCCCTTGTTTTGCTGGAAGGGATCCCTGTTTAAATTCAGCAAGGAATCATCGTGAAACAAAAACAAATTGAAGGCACCAACAAGAATGGTACTCAGTGGACTGAGTCGTAGCTGTGATGTCCCTCCGATCCTCGGAAACCGGAGTTGTCAACCCCCAGCGAGGCCAGGGTGCATCAAGGCAAACCAATTCTAAACAAAAATGGCAAACCAATTCATGCTTCTCATTTAAGTGGGCAACCGAAAACCTTCTTGATTTCCTCTAGTCATGACTGGATTTCCTGAACGTTCAACTCCCCTGGATCAGTTTCTTTCGATGAATAACACCCCACATGAAGAGGTGAAAAAACCATCCATGGTCCATGGGGACTTTTTTTTAAATCAATTCCTCTACATGAGAAGAAACCGAGCCTTCGTTGCTTGAGCCCCGGGTCCGGATCCCGACCGGGACTCCCGCCTCCTTGGTCCGGAGTGGCTTCTCCCTCTTCCGGCTTCTCCTCCCCTGACACCAAGCGCTGTCAGGTGAGGAACCGACTTCGGGAACACAGGTGCTGCAAGGAGGTCCTGTCACGGCAAAACAGACCATAAGAAAGCAGCTGCAGCAGCAGTACACAAGGACAACGCACTTGAACAGCCCTTGGCAGTGATGATCATTGATCGGGCACAATCTCTCGTAGTATCGTGATGTAATGTATCGTCAAAATAGACGTAAACTCACTCAGGGGAAACCATCTATGCAAACACGCTTCCCAGCTCCCAGCTCGGTCACACCAGTGAAACCTATGAGCCCTTTGAGGGTCTCCTGGAGACAACCCCGGCGCACCGATGCGGTCATCTGTTTTCCACACTGGGGGTCCACCAATCGATGCAGCTGTTGTTTGGGGTGCACATTCCAGCAAGTACTGCTGAAACATCCCTAGACAAGCAACATGGACATGCTGACATGCTTTACCAAGTCCATCAGGTCCATCATTGTCATGGCACCCAGAGCTTGGGACCAGGTTGACCATGTCCAGTGGTCTATTCTATCCATGTTCGGTGGTGAACCAAGGCCCCAGTTTGAACCACCGCCACCTTTTCTAACCTAATAGCGATGGCCTCCAACCCACTAGCGATGGCCTGCAACCTACTAGCAATGGCCTCCAACCTATTAGCGATGGCCTCCAGCTTTTAGCGGGTGTCGAATCCACCATCTTTTCGACAGAAGCTCGGACAGGTCGAGGCACTGTGCAGCAAAGGGCTCGGATTGCTCGCCGCTGAGGAATCACCACTGACGCGGGTCATCTCCATGGGAGCACGCTGACGCATGAACGAGGCACAGCCCCTGGTCAGGGGGGATGCTTGGGAGGCTTGACCTGTCTTTTCTTTCTCGGGGAGCAGAGAAAGAGATTGCCAGGTGAATGGATGCTTTCAGAGGTCTAGGTTTCAAATTTAAAGGCCACCTCAAAAGGAACTCATAAGCCAAGGGACCTCGATGTCCCAGACGATGAACTTCGCAGGAATCTGTTCAACGACAGTTTCACAAACCAAAATAAGAAAAATGCCCTTTCAACGAAAATCTATAGCTAGTTTTTATGTGTTTTGGTGTCTCAGTTGGTCTGCGAGTGTCACGCTCTTCGTCTGTTGTCTTGCAAGGCTCTCTAAGCCAACAGGCGCAGGCGCTTTTTTCGGCGCGTTCGGCGCGCGCTTTCGGCGGGTCCACGCTCTTCACACTCGGAAGAACTTGGAACTTCGCACCGAACTTCGCCAAAAAAAGAACCCGAACCCCACTTCCGACTGCAAAGCTCCTGTGGAGCTCCTGCGGAGCTCCTGGAAAACACGGAACCTCCCGTGGTGGTGGCGAACTCTGGGACTGAGGGTCGACTCTCTGCGACGAATCCGTGTGGTCTCGACCCAGAAGTCGAAGTCTCTCGCTCAGTCTGCGCCCTTTGGATCCCTTTAGACCGGTGAAGAAATTGGGTCAACGATGGTCAACGGCTCCATTTCTGGCCAAAGTCGGGCGCCCTTTGATCCTTTTTTGGGGGGGGGAGTCGGGCTCATCATGCTTCATCTGCTTCTTTCTAGGTACCCGGTGCGGTGAGTTCGCCGGCCGGAACGAGAAGACTTACTGTATATAATTGTTATCTTTCCGTGATAAGCAACATGTATGTCATGTTGTTTCTGTTCACTAATTCATAAGACCATCCCCTATTAATTAATCGACATAGTGACATAGCTTACAGATTGCGTCCTGCACCACCCGCAAACTGCACCACACTGACCTCTAAGGATTGCAAATGCGCTCGGGCCATGGCTTCCTGCTCCTGTTCGAGATGCTCTGTCCCTAGGGTGAGCAACACAAATTGAGGATGAGCTTGAAGGTTCCAAACCACCAGTGAAACTGGAGGAATATGGTCTATTTTCAAGGTCCAAAGTGAAGTGTCATGAAGTGTCAGTGGCTTCTCGATTGCCAGAGTACGTTAGTGTGCGAGAGGGTAGTGGTTGAGTGGCTTGTTGTGGCCTGTCGACAGCTCATGAGTCAAAACCTGTAAACTAGCAGGTAAAACTTGAGGGGTTGCTTAAGTTGACCCTCCCACAGCCACCCTGGAACAATATATATAAATATACCATCGTCGTATTAATAAACATATTAATATATATTGTATATAATAATATATAATATGAGATATTATGACCGGCTGGGACATGGATCGGAATGTCATTCACATTCCGGGATGCTTTTTGGCATTTTGATATGATTCAACTTCCATTCCATACCTAAGAAGACAGCTGTGCTTTGCAAACGCTCAAACTTAAACATGTCCGTTTCCACCACGAAACACAACGGTTGATCTTCTTGGTTGACCACCCCTTGTATACATGAAACTGGTTCCACGAACAACACACGTAACTGGAAGGTGTCGTTTTGTGCCTAAATAATTATTCCGAACAAATTCTGGGGCTGTATGGGAATGGGGGAATGGGAAGTACCTTGCCCTGCTACCTGACGCTTATCCTTGCTTGAAATATTATCCATAAAATTTGTTCCACACAAAAACCCTGGAGGTGACATGACCCTTCGATGAGTTTTTGATCGTTTTTGGCCACCCACTACCCATGCTTAAACATTGGTTGAATTGTAAGTCTGGGGATACTTGATACCATTCACATCTCACTCTATGTGGATTGCATCTCTCTGGACCCAAGCCTGCTTCGGATCTCTTGGGGGTCAGCTCATCTGTGGGGGTCAGTTGATCTGTAGTCTAGAGGATATGCGTTCAATTGACCTCTCCACAGAAATACAGCAGCAGCCCCACGCAGAGTCGCCGAAACCCCTCGTCCTGCACCGCTTGGCGGCTGCGATAGCCGCCGCCAATGGCCGTGATCTGACTGCTCTGGTAGGAGCCATCCTTCCTGGAGCTCGGGCACCTCTTGGAGGGTGAGTGCGGACAACAGTGATGTCCCAATAACACAGAGGACCCCGTGCCCAGAGGATCGATATGGATCTGAAACATGGACGGAGTTTTTTCCAGTGCCCACTGGAAGTGTCTGGCCTTGTCAGGCAAGATCATGTCTGAAAGATGCTGGATGGCTTACCACGGCTGACTCGCACTCCCCGATGTTCTGTTCTACAGTGAGCGATTGGTGTGTACGAACACATGCACCCCGATGTGCCCAGACCGACAGGCAACGAAAGCTGGTGTTTGGGCCGGCGTGTGGGCATCGGGTCTGGGGCCCAGAACCCAGAAACCATTGATCTTGAGAAGATCTGATCCGGGTGTGGACTTGAATAGGGAGGTCCCCAAGCAACCAAGGGGTCGAACTGGGGGGTCTCCCTAATACACACCCATCCAACAAGGCTGTTTGGGAGACTGATGCACAGATCCACCGTTACATTGGCATCCCATCCCGACATATCCCGACGGCATCACCATCTTCTCCCGACGGAGAACTCCTGCCGAGCAACCTCCCAATCAATCCAAACACATGATCGTTTGAAGGGGGATGGAGACCTGTACTAGGCATCCCCTGTGCATTCCCCCCCTCACAACAAAAGAGGCATCATGATGCCTTTGCCATAGGCGATCTGGATTCACCATGTCTTCAACCGGAGTGAAGACACCGTTCACATCCCTGGTAGCGGTCGTTTTCCGTGGCTCTTTTCGCGTCGCTTTGAAGCCGTCTCGGCCTGGCGGTTCCGGAGTGACGCCTTGTTTTAGGCGAGTCCAGCCAGTTGTCGAATGGTCTCTTGATGAAGCTTGCTGTGCAAGACGTGCAAATCGAACTTCTCACCTGAGCGAACCATCGAACCGCGTTTGAAAAACGACAGACAGACTGGTAGGTAGCATAGCGCACTTTGAACAAACAGCAGCATGGAACCTTCGGACTGGAGAGATCAAATCGGACGGGTCTTCCAAGGACCTGACAGGGGAGCCATGTGATGGGTCAACTGGGCATGCTTTCGGTCCAGTGTTCGGTTGCCACACGGCTCAAGCCGTGTTGCGCCCCATTCATGGCTCCCGAATTCGTTGTGAGGACGGGATCCACACAAACCTCAAAAGACTCCAGGATTCCTCCAACTTCCCTCTAACTGGAGGAAATGGAGGGGGTAGTGATGCTACTGGTCGCGGTTCTCAAGCTTGCACATATTTGCTCTTCCCGGTTTCGTCTTTTTCTCCCTTCCCCAGTTCCACCGGTCGTCTTCGTCCGATTCGAAAAACTCACCCGCGAACACGTCAGTTCCAGGCGGCTCGTGTCGAACTTCCTGCGGCAAAGCCAGCACACGAAGAGCCCCGTCTTCTCAGCCTTCTCACTCACTGGGCTGGCAGAGCCCTTCACAGAACGCGAACCCGTGTGGTCGAAGGAAGCTTGTCGGGACCTGACGGCCAGCGAAGCTTCACAAAAAGCACGCCCCCTGGTCCAACACAAGCACAGTAAATCCTGAAGGAAGAAGTTACAGGAGCCCAAGCTGACACCTAAAGCAAAAGAACTATGTATATATAACTTTATAACTATAACACATTTAAGCACAACAAAACAAACACACAGGCAACATCAGGCAACCAACAACCAAAAAATCAAATCCCACAAATATGGCAATCAATTGAAACACAATGCACTCAAAAGAAACATCTGTCGACATATGTCGTGCAAGTGTACACCGTGTTTCTGAAGAGGTCGCGTTTTCGTTTCGCGTCATATCAGACCCGCATTGTCGCTGAGTGAGATAAGTAAACTTCGCTCTGTGTGTGGCGGTTCGCACAGATGTTCGTTCGTCTCGCGGGGGTTGTTTCGTCGGCGGCTGACGGAGGTCATTCGCATGTTTACGGAGGTCTTGGAGTCTTGCATTGATGGCAAACAAATACACCACCACCTTAGTCAACTACAAGACATTGCACCATTCCAGGACAGGATCAGTAGCTCATGGCCATTTCCCAAGCCCTTAGGGCCCTTGGCGACGTCTGCCGTCAACGGCTTTCAACCGTGGACGGCCGTGGACGTAGCACCGGGCTCTGGACTCGACTCATTTGACCCCACCTGGAAGTCCTGGAAAGCCACACAAGTCACAATCCAGCACTACCAAGGGCGGTCAAATGAGTCACAATCCAGCATACTCGACAGCTAAAAAAGGCTCTCTGAAAATTATGGCTCGACAAGGGACGCTTTCAGCTCATCAAAGGATGCCCGGCGTGAGACTTGCAGTTCCTCTCGTGAGCCTGGCGCTTCACTCGTCGACTCTGGCAAGCCTGCCTTGGGCAGCCGCAGCACGTGGGGGCTCCAGTGGATCCCCCGGACGGCTCCATGTCGCCAATACCGGTTTGGCGAAGTGTACAGAGGTGGAACGTGACCGAACAAAACAGGAACCGTCACATGGGCTACATCTGGGATGGTCGAACCAGGGTGCTTCGATCTCTGCTGGTAGGACATCCGTATACCTGCTTGAAGTAAACAAAAAGATATGGCAACGCAAGAGATTTGAGTATGGCACCCATCCATGGGTGGGCCGGCAACAGCAAGCTACCACAAGCGAAGTGCCTGCGAGGTTGGGACAGGGCATGGAGCAGATCTCCATCATGGAGCTATACAGTACACAGCCCGGGGTTTTGGAGTGTTCTGGGGTTCACTGGGGTCCATAGTTGTTGGTGGGTTGGAGGATGCATGATATATTATTTTATATAATGTATGGCAGTGGGTCACTACCATACACTTCCACATCATAGGAGGCTGACATCATTATGTTTGTGTTGTCGCTGGTCTTGTTGTGCCGGTCGCCTAGGTCGTTGCCACATCAAGGATGTGAAACCTCACGGGTGACCCTTGTTTCTGGGCTGAATCGGTTCGGCACAGAACACTGAGCCAGTGGTTCTTAACCGAAAAACGAACAGAATAGGCTTCTGGGGAGGTCAATCGACCAGGGTGAAATGGTCACTGACTCACAGCCCCCATCCTTGGCATCCTTGCTTTCTTTCTGACCCAGTTTACCGGCTGCTTAGCTCAGCAGCTACCGGTGTGTTGATGCTTCCAGGTAGACCAGCCACGGGCGTGCTCAAACCTTTGCTCAAGCGGCGGGACCTGTGAAATTGGAACTTTCCCAATAGGAAAGGAATCCCCCAAAGCGCCAAAATATGCCAAAACACACGCACAAATCATCGGTAACATCTTACAACATGCCTTCTCCCAAAGGTTCAAGGATGAATCTCCCACATCCCAGGATAGTTTGGCGCACCAACATCATGTGAGCGTGGAGAATTCCCTGCTGCGGATCAAGGGGCCTTCAGGGGCCTTCAGTCAAAAAGAACAGCCATATGCTCCGACCCAAATCGTTGCAGAGAAGGGTCGGTTTCTTCCGCAGGATTCGGTGGAAAGCTTCCATTCCGCAGTAGATCACTTGTGAGAGCAGGGAGGAAAAATGGTCTTCCCATTGGGGCGCATCCCACCTCACCCATGAGTATATACTGTAGATATATATATATATATGTGTGTGTCTCTCTCTCTCTCTATATATACATATACTTTATAGGTTGTTCCCCCAGTAACAGTTGAACATAACAGTTGAACATGAGGTGCATAAGCACCTTATGAACACAAATGAACGCAGCCATGATTGTTTGTCGCCTTTTACTGGATAACGAGATAATCCAATATATGATACTATAAGCCATATTGTCACAGAAAGTAGCTATCTAGATCCGCTGTGTGTCACACCCTACCTGGTCATACCAATCCGCGACAAATCAGTAGTAGTTGCAACACTTTGTGTGTGGGACAAACAACAAGCAAACAAACATTATATCCAACACATGTCCATGTGTACAAACCGGTCCCCAGCAATGGATTCCCAACCAATGGGGCCAGGAAACTCATCACCTTCGCCATCCGCGTCTCGTCCCCAGAGCTTGGCCGCTTCGTCCCCCTCGACGCCATGGGAGGTGGCGCGCACTGCGCGGGCCGGTGGCGTAAGGCCGGTGGCTGCGGCGCATATGTGTCGTGAGCAAGGGAATCTGCAGATCTGGTGTTCAAAGAATTCCAAAAGGAACCACGCACCGGTTTGATCCTGTTGGGGGGGATGCATCAATTTTCTTGAAGACTTTAAGACTTCAGGTGCTCTCTACTGGGTTTGGTTGGAGATGTGGGATTGGATCTTGTTTGGTGGATCTTTTGAGTTGGTTTGGTCCATTTCTGGGAGAGAAAAAAAGGGGGTTCGCCCAGGAACTCTTGTGAGGGTACAAAAATACGGGTGTGGAATGGTGTGGACATCCTTAATTAAAGTAGATTTACCATATTTTGCATGTATGTAAATGCACTCCCAGAAAACAATCTGATCACCAGCTTTGGAAGGTCTTTCCCCCAAATACATCCAAACGTCTTCTGGGACACCCAGAATTCTCCCTTCGCAGCGAAGAGCGGCGTTCTCCTGCGAGTCACCCGGGCCTCGGGCGAGAGAGGAAGAGCACCCCTGGATCTCCCCAGCACCTGACCTGACGATCCACCTGTATGTTACACAAGCCAACCCTTCAACCCTTGTTACTAGTAGCGTCCTTGTTCCTAGTAGTAATGCCAGGAGCTACTAGTAGCATCCTTGCTCCTAGTAGCGATGCCCTTTGCTGTTGAGTGGGGTGTTCCAATTGGGGTGTCCCTTATTCATCTTATTCCCCCCCCCCGTCCAGGTTTTGCAGGTGATCCATGTTTTCCGAGGCAGGCGTTGAGGGGCACGTTTGTTAGTGAGTCAAAGGGTGCTCAATAGATGGAATATGGTGACAAGGATCTCTTCTCATGCGCCAAAGAAATACAAAATGAGTTGCAAGAGCAAGATCAAAGCATATCAAAGAAAAAGTAGTTGGTGGAAAACACTTTGTTGGCAAAGGGAACTCATCAAGAAGACGAGAACGGAGATAAACCAAAAGCATGCCCAAGATACCCATGTCTATTGGTATCTTCTTGCAAACCATCAATCCCAAAGTTTGGGATCCGGATCTCATCCCGACTCAGGCAGGATAAACCCATCCATTCTCTCGTTCGAGTGCTTAGGGGTTTCATAGACTTCTCATTTCCAGACCGGCGCTCCGCGGGTTTCGATCTAGTACTAGTACACCAAAGTACTGTAGAAATCCCTATCGAGAATAACTATGGAGTACTCTTGCCATGCTGTACACTATCTGGGAATAGCTTGATAATTCTGCTCAGCATGGCGATATGGCCCGTGGTATGGACAGCCGCAGCTCCACCCGCAGTATGGACGCCCGGCCCGAAAACTTCCTTGCTGTCGCATCAGCCTGGCGTGGGCATCGAGCGCCTGCCTTGCCCCGGATCCATGTGGGTGTGCATTTGGATGGATCTCGACCCCTTGGCCCTGGCTGGGTAGACCAGTCTATGTACTTTAAAAGTTTTTTTGGGTTCAGGGCTGTCGAACTGGGAGGGTCTCCTTTTGATAATGCAGGTTTGTAAGCAAATACGGCCTGGGGTGCTTGATTGACCCACGTGAGCATTTGATCAGGAAGCCAATACGACTTCTCATTGTCCCAAACAAGCATGAACATGTTGTTGATTGTTGTTGTATTTGCTGAAATGAACGACAAGCGAGGGACACACTTTCTGAACATGCCCTCTAAAACACCCATCAGCATCGTTCAACGGGGTGCCATGACTTCATCCATCCAATACGTTTGGATCACACCTTCAATCGGTGATCGCACCACCTGGAATCCGAGAATCCGCCCCTGTCCGTCTTCGGGCACGACGCAAGCCCAGTCGACCCTCCAGTCGCCCCACCCACCCACCCACCCACACACACACACACCAGAGTGACAGCGACACGGGTCGGTCCCGAACCGCGGGGACCGGCGGGGCCGGTGTCGACTCGACGGTGACCGACGGGACGAGTGTGGCAAACATGCCATGGGCGGACGACTCGGCACCTGGGGCCGTTTCTCCGGAAAAGAGCAGCGCTGGAAGATCTTCTTTCATGGTGAAGATGTCCAGGGATGAAGAGGAAGGGACTGCCCATCGGGTGATGGTGATGGTCATGGTCATGGTGATGGTCACGGTCATGATCATGATGATGATGATGATGATGATGATGATGATGATGATGATGATGAT